CCACTGGGACTGGAACATGGGTGGACACTGTGGACACTGGGGCTGAACCAGGGGTGGACACTGTGGGCCAGCCTGGTACAGATGGTGAATCACCTGAGCCACTGCAGAGGAATCCTTGAATTTAACGCAGTGGAAGGTGATTTATGTTCTGGAAGATGCTCCTACTTTCTCCTCACTTCTCCTGGGCATAGTGCGGGTTTGCAGGAGTGAGACGAGCTGAATAGCTTTGTCTGGTGTAAGGAAATAATTGCTCTTTCTAAATTAAAAAAAAAGAATATTCTGTCTTATGCTTACCTGCCGTGTTTGACAGCCGACCCGGTTTCGGAGACCCAGAAGTGGGTGGCAGAGGCGGCCGTGGGGAGAGGGGTACAGGACGTGGCACCGCTGAGCTCCAGGGGGCACTGGAGGCCTGGCCTGAAGAGCAGCCTGCCCCCTGCAGGCAGGGCTGTCCACTGCGCTGGCCAGGTCAGAAGGGCTGGAGGCCGTGCAGACTCTCGCCCCCCTGAGGAGCACGCCAGCCTCACAGCACTGCCAGGGTAACCTCGCTCCCAGTCTAACACCGGCTTGATTCACAAGAGGGTTTTCGCTTATTAACAGCTGTTGAGTCAGAAATGAGGGAGCCTCCCTGTACCTGATTGCTGTGCTAAAGTCAGGCCTAGTAAGTGAACTAGATGTACTGGGCACAGAAACTACATCCTGAACCCAGGAGTATTGTGAAATTGGCAGTTTCTGAAGAAGTACAAATGGATTTGCTGGGGGAAACGTGTCACTCTTTAAAAGTTTCCTAATTGAAGACTTTCCACCTGTAAAATGAGCTGCCTATGTGGGCGGTTGGGGGCAGAGTGCTGCTTTACTTCATTCAGAGCAGGAGAGCAAGCAGGGCCGCGCAATCATTGACATCACTGTGGACATGCATAGTCTGTGTATTACAGTTTCACCCTATACTTCCTGTTAGTCTCTATAATGACATTCCTGTACCCAGTCCTTGCTTTGTTGGCTAACACCAGACTGTCTCTGCTCTGCTTCACTGTAGAGGAAGATTAGATGGGCGGACGAACACAAGGAACACGGCGACACCCAAGGTACTGTACCTGTCTGAGTGAGGAGCTTGAGTGCCACTCATGGAGAGGGATTAGAATCTGCTCTTCGGTCTGTGCTTACTCTATGGCTGGAAATGAGCTGGTGCTGTGGATGTGAGTTTACAAAGACCTCTGTAAAAGAGACTAAGGACTGAGGTAGACTCCCATGTCCAAAGATAAGCCAAGTATAATCAACTGTATTTTATGATTTAATGCATTTAAAGCATGAATTTACTATGGTTTGCTTTGGCAAGTACAAGGGCTTTATTGTGATTAAACCTACTGCAGTTTAGTGACTCTCAGTAAGAGCATGGATACTAGAAAATGTGGAGTAACAGGGGCTTTAAATAAATTAAATAACAAAAAGTCTCACGATGAGGAAACCAGATTAACCAGGTAGGGTGTCTTCTCATCGGTCCCATTTGTCTTCTTGCCATTTGGCATTTGTCTCATGACCAATTGTCTAATTCTTTTTGACGTGAGCTCTGCACAGCGCCATGCCTTAGCAGGGGATTTCAGCTGGTGGCCCCCTGTCCACACAAACGGAATAGTGCTGTTTGCACCAGCAGCTGTGAAATGGATACTGTGGTCCTTGAAATATCTGGTGTCCTTATATACTGAAACTCCTTCGTAATATAGGCTAAGGTAATTAGGGAACTGGATTACAAGTAAAGGCAGAAGTACTGAACAGCTCCTTTGAAAAGTATTAACCTGTGATAAATGTTTAAAAATGCAGACTCTCGCCCCTGAAACGCGCAGTGTGGAGAAGGGAGAGGAGTGAAAGTGTTCCCCAGAGGACGACAGCTCTGAAACTCAGGAGGCTTCTCATCAACTATGCAGCACCTATTATATTGTATCTGGATTGTGTGAATAACTGATGTCCTTTCTTATAGCAGTGGGCTCAGCGTCTCTGAACATTGCAATTGCAATTGCAATGCAATACATTTACAATCTGTGGCTTTACAGACTTTTATATCATTTGAGTTTAGCTTCAATGAGTGAGACCTGAGAGGTAGTTTTATATAACAGTATAACTTGTATGTTATTTTTATTATTCTAGATTACACAAATCAACTGACCATTAAAATATATCTGGGAAAAAAATGTAATCTTGCCTTGTTCTCTTTATGGCATCATAAATATGGCTTAAAGTGTTCTCTGTGGCTGCCCCTCAGATGCCACAGAGAATGGACCATACACAGCAGTCTCGATGTTTAGTGTGCACAGTTCATACATTCTAACCTACAGAAACCTATGCAGTTCGGAAAAGGGCAGAACTTGTTCTATTTTGATTGCATTAAATGTTGCAACTCTTCATTGCATTAAAGCAAGATACAAACACACACATTAGGAATATAAGACTTGAAACTGCTTAAAAGTGTCCAGCTGATCAGAACTACTTTGTGCCACGATAGGTGGGTTAAGTGGCAGCACTGGGTAACTTGTATCAAGCTATTGCTCTTTTAGATAGGCCATTATACTTTGTTGGTATTTTATTGCACCAAACAACTGCAAGTTGTGATTCTCCACCAGGGGTCACAGTCCTTCCAGTAACACAGTTCAGGCTGCTACCATTATTCTTGTTCAGACCTGAAGCTGCTGAAGAGGGACCCTCTGCTCCTGGAGTATCACTGTCAGTCTGTTTTAGTCCAGCCAAGCAGTAAGTTACTGTGGCTAGCTGTTTCAAGACCTTTCTGATCTGTTTTCTGCTGAATATGTTTCGCCTGTGTACAGGGTTAACTCTCATCCAGAATCCTTTCTGATGTGGTAGCTCGGTGAGCCATGGTAACTGGGTTCAGCAGGAATGAAAAGCAGAAGAAACAGGGGAACTTTAAAACCTGAGGATTGAGGCTGAGGATTCTCTCTCTGGTCTTCTCTAGGCTGTTACCGAACTGATAAAACCTTTTCTTATTAGTTCTGTCAGAGGGAATACAAATTACAGAGAACAGTTATTTACCAAAGCAAACTGAACTACCACTACTAAGCCAATCAGGGGTATATAAAGACCATAGACCTTGCTGTCTACAGATCTGGGGAGCACAGCAAGGTTAGGAATAGTTATGTGTTACTCCTGTGAGCAGTGTTCTAGCCCTCTTCAATCCAGACTAGAATTTCCAAAACCAATATCCCAATGTGCTGACAGGCCACTGCTGTAGGAAGTGTCATTAAAATCCTTTGGCTTTATCCATAAGATTGGGAGTATTAACCCAGTATCCCAAAAGCCGTACAAATCTGTCAGAAAAAACACGTCTAATCAATACAGTGCGAGCCGAGTAGAATAATTCACCTTAGTGTGTGGTAGTGTCCTACTGTCTGCAACAATCGACTTTTAGACATTAAATACTTTTGAGATTCTGGGTCCAGAGTTGTTCCTAAGGTATTTGGAGGTCTATTTCTCCCCAGTGATAAAAACAGTTGGAAATGGTTATAAAAATCTTGTCGGACGCCCCGGGACAGAGCGGCAACATTCACACACGCTCAGGTCGCTAGTCTGTGCGCCTCATCCTCTATCAATCTCCCTATCGGAGCACCCAATCATCCAGCCAATCCCGGCTGTTTAATACTGCTTTCGCTAGGGGATCGGAGCCCTGACATTGTGAGGTTTTTTCAGGAAGTACTTTGTCTCTGCTCTGAACGCGTCAACTCGAAGGCATGATAACTTGCAGATAAACCTGAAACCAGTACCCGAGTCCTGAAACCTGGAAACCGGAAAGCTTCTCTGTCTGAGGTCTGTGGTGAATCACCCTCAGCCGCCTGCTTCCAGTTGCTCCTTTTCTCCTCCCCATCATGACCGTCATCACTCTTGTCCTGGTCCTGCACCCCGGGTTTCCCCGCCGCCTGCCGAGAGTCACCCCTCGGCCTCATCAAGCCGCGGCCCGACAGCTAATCAAAGTTTCTGATGAAGGCGTATGTGGGCTGGGAAGCCTGACTTGAATTGCTCTTTTCAGGTTTTAGGCAGCAGCGGCCGTATCTCTGCGTATTGTGATCCGTGTGAAACAATCTCACATTGAGACAATGAGGTGAGATGGATCTCCAGAACTGAGGTGGTGTGTTTGAGCCCATTCTTTTCACAAAAAAAAACCAGGAAATGTCTGGATGCCATTCCTTTCACGGTTGCCTCATGGCACAGACAAAATAACTGCAGCAGACAGCTGACTCATACAGCGGTGCTGGAATATGGATCAGAATGAAAACCTGTTGAAGCCACTCCTACCAGACCTACCTAACACTTATAAACCAGTTAACAGGAACAAACTATACTTTTTCTCTAGTCACTGTTCAACTAGGCTTTGGATAATCGTGAATGTGTTTCAGTAACTGAACTTTGAGTTGAATTACTTGTTTTCCAAACACGGAAACAAAATCACCTGTTCTTCCGCCAGCGACTACATTTCCCTGAGGCCTTTGCTATCGCAGGCGACGCCCACGCATTCAATCGGACCAATGGGCTTCTGGGTTTTCCAATAAGGGGCGGGATCTCCCTGGAATGCTGTCTGTTCATTGGGCGTCGGCCCCCCGGCGGGGCGGGGCAGCGGGGGACTTGTGGGAGAAGACGGGAGGATTTGAAGCTCGCGCTCAGTGCAGGGTTGTTGCAGAAACCGATCCGACACCGCGGCGCCGGTTATGTTCCGGTAGACGCGTCCAGACTCCGCCGTTTCCTTACAGCCGGTATGCTCTGATGAGAATATGGGCCTGCTGCTAAAGCCTCGCTGCTGAGAGCTCTCTTCGAGAGGAATACGAGCTCGGACCTGTGCAGGCAGGTGGAGTTACACAGCGTGCCCCCAGCGGTGCTGCTTGTGGGAAGGGGAGCACAGCACCTCCGGTCCCGGTCCTTGAGTTTCTCCGCAGCTGCGCTGCCGGGCGAGCTGTGGCTGCGGACACTGTCCGGCAGCTCGGACTGCAGCGGGTCCCCGAGGCTGTGTCGCCAGAGCACGGTGCACCTCGTCTCCCCCACTCGGGAGTCCTGATCCGCCCTTCTAGCAGCCTGGGCGAGCAGCCGGACACTCTCCGGGGGCAGGCGCTGGGTGCGGGGACAGACCCCGGGTTTGGAGCCCGAAACGCCGCCGAGAGAAGCGAGAGGCTGGGCTCATCCCAGCTGCGGGATCTTCACGCGTGGTGTCCGACACCGCGATACACGCAAACCACAGGCGCCAGAGCGCCCACGGCGGAACCCGCGGTCCTTGTGATCACCCCGCAGGAGGAAGACTGTGCTGTCACCGGCCCATAGCAGCCATGTCAGAAGGACGGTTCTCCGCGCTGGACGAGCCCTCTCTCAAGAAGCTGGTGAGTTTATATCCCGCCCAGCTGCCCCGCCGTGTGCAGCGCATTCATGCCCTGTTCTCGGCGTGCAACACAATGTGCGAGAAATGACCCCACTCTCAAACCACCCGTGGTACTCCCCATCGGCTGTATTTACAATCCGTCGTATTTTCTTCACGCTGGACAAATATGAATCACGACTAGGGATGTGCATTTCGGGAGAAGCAACAGGAGGCTGGTAGTGAAGTGAATGTCTAAATGGCCAAAAGGTTACAGATTTAACTGTCGTACTGCTAGTACCTTCCAAAAAGGGATTCATTTCTTAATTATGATGTCTTTGGCTGTAACTTTTCTCGCTACTACTTTTTTAGTGGATAGTGGGAAGCAGTTATCCAATGTAAGTCTACAGAGCTCGTAGAAATTAATGATTTTAAATCTGTGGTGGAGGTGTTTAAATCGCACAGGGTGCACCTGAATGCAGGTGAGCTGGACTCTTCACGGCGGTCATGCCCAGTTCCCTCACGGGTCCTACGAAATGCGCTCCTTGCAGCACTGAGCTCTTACTGCTCGTGGTGCGAATGTAAGCGAAGTCTAAGCGGGAGACGGAGAATATGCATGGATCACGACAGGATAGAGGTCCGTTTTGAAAGGGTGGTTGTCCCGCGGATACCGCACTGACAGCGCCGTCTTGCTGCCACTAGTAACGGACAGGTGTGGCGGAGGAGAGCAGGGGAGCTCTTTTGGCAGATGACATTGTGGATTAGCCGCTTTGCTCTACTACCGTACTACCGAGGGTTCTGCGCGGCAGAAACTGACGAAGCATAGTAGGAGAGTGTCTTTCTTATAGTTCCCCTGCTTGCCTTGGTGTGCATGAGAACAGCTACAGCCAGACATGAGAGCAGGTCACTGGGCTCGTCCAGCCTGGTGGCCAGTGAGTAGCTAACTGGTCGGATGATCCTGCAGGGCTGGTTTAGGAAGAAGCCAGGGGATGGGCTTCTGCAGCAACGCAGGTAGCTGTTGTAGGTGAACACCTCTAAGCGAGCTACCAGCTCGCAAGAGCAAAAACCACTTCTGCTGCTGCTGCACTCCTGGAATGTCTGCAGCCAGCTGCTTCCCTGGTTCAAGGCAGAATCAGCAGGTTTCCAAGAACAACACTGTCGCGCCCTTCATTGCCAGTCGGGGTGAAAGTTCCCGATCGGAGGTGGTCAGGTTCCGAATCCCTGCTGCGATCCCGGGGCCGAGTTTCCTCTGGGGCTGAGGGGTCTGGAGCACCTGGCTGCAGGTCTGCTGGTTGAAGAGGGATTCCCCTTCCCCCGCCAGGCCCTGCTCCAGGACGGGGGACTGTCTCGGGGGGCTGGAGCCCAAGGCGCTTGTCTGCTCCGGGGAAGGAGTTCCAGACCCGGACAGCGCGGAGCCCGTGTGCCACAGGGGAACAGGATGGGAGCGTGCTTGAGGATTAGCACGTTCTCCCTTGTTTATATCTCTGGGTTCAGGCATCTGCTGTAGCCTCCCCATGGCGGCCCGTCTCTGGGGTCCACCGGTCTCGCGTGCCCCCTGTCTCCGGTCCGTCTCCGCCAGGTTCAAGGTAGTCAAGGGTCACTCCTGAAAACAGGCCAGGCACTCGGGTTGCTAATTGTTTCAGAGCTGTCTAAGGGGACGTGATGGGCCAATGACTGCTCCTAGGTTGTTTTTTTTGGCATATTACATTTCCTGCACAGGACTACAGTACATACCATCACACTCTGCATTGCGAGATGTAACCCATAAAACAGCCTACAGCAGATAACTGGTCTGTATCACCAGGTATGTCACTGTCAGATCAGATTCCACACAAAGCAGTTTGGCAGGTTTATTCTGAGTCAGTGGTGTGGTTTATAATTGTTTTTTATTTGGTTTGAGGGCAAAGTAAAGAAATCGGATAAGAGAAGAGGGACTCATCTTATTGACAGTTGTGCTCTGATGTCAGGTCCTTGCATAATGGTGTTCCTGTTGCTCAGTTAAGTGAGTAATTCCAGAGTGCACTGCTGGGGTTTATGAGTTTCAGGCTTTCAGCTCTTGTTCCCAAGACCTTTAACTCGATTGATAGGACATTCCTCTATCTTTCAAAACGGTATTATGAATAAATCGTAAACGAAAGAGGAGGGAGGATTGCAGATCTGTCTTTTACTTCCTTAAATCCAGACATAATTAAATATGAATGTGAAGCAATATGTAATGTAGAAAAACATCTTACTGCTCTTTGTCCCAGTGGTATGGAATTACGTTTTCATGTGCAGAACAGTGAATCTTATTGCTGTATAGAAATTTGGAAGAAATAAAGGTTTAAAGTTAGATCAGGTTTTCTGCTGTTGCTCCTGGAGAAGTCATTGGAAGGACTTCATTTTGAAGTTCTGTATTGGATTTGTACTTTAATGGACCCTTTTCATTTTTAATTGACAAGTTGTGAAATTGTTTTCTGGGAAGAGTGCGCTAAACCAGCTGGTGTGGTGTTTGGGCACCCTGAATTCTTTGGCTGGGCAGCTGTGTAAAAGATCTTTACTAGATCAGAAGGATCGTCGGGAGTGCTGAGGAGACCTGTGTCCGAAGGTGGTGGACCAGGGGTTTAATGGTCTGGGCCAGACATTTAAACTCCATTTAGAGTTCAGCCCCTTTAGTCACTGGAAGCATCAGGTTGAAATGAGTGCAGAGGCAGTGAAGTCATGCAGTCGGACACTAAAAGGTCTAAGTACCATTCTTAATCCAATAGGTTGGTGGTTAATGGGTTCAGCTCTCTAAATATTGACTCTTTTCATTAGTCTCACCTGCCAGATAAGTCTTAAGTGGTTGAGTATTTAAGCAGGACGTGAAACTCGATAAACACTTCATCGTGGTGTTCTTATTAGAGCATTTCTCCTTTTGTGGTAAATTTTCCTCAGTTTTCTCAGGAATTGAGTCCAGATAAAATGCTGGATGATGAAGTGCATCTAAAAATAAAGCATCGGTTAAAAACGCTCTTTTTGGTCGAGGAATGCCATCTGTTGGAGAGGGGGAAGCGGCAAACCTTTTGGAAGTGAGCCTGTAAAACATCTAACGCTGTTTTCCATCCTACAGTTAAAATGGAGATCTCATTGTGGCCAAAAGCCTGAGTGATTGCATTTAAGACTTAGAGATGAAAGATTGTTTTATTATCCCTAAAAAGGTTTACGTGAGTGGTTTAACATCATTATAGCCATACTCTTAGTGCTCAGAGGTCAAATCATTTGCATCAAATGTCCTGTATGTCCAGACCCTACGGAACAGATTTTGGAATAATTTAGTGCAGCAGAGATGACAGACATCGAGCTTTTGTGAAAAGGACTTGGGTGATAAGAACCCTGAGAAATTCTCAGCCATTTTTTTGCACAGTTTGACAGTTTGATTGAGTCCTGTTTAAGATGTTTTATTATTTCACAGTGAGACACGAGCTGATGGTTTTATGCTGTTCCCACAGTTTTCAGTGTGTCACTCTGCTCAGTAAAAAAAGTCTGGAAAGATGTCTTTTCCCAGACTTTACCAGGAAACAAACTTGGAAAGGGTCAGGCTGCTATCAGGCATGTGAGAATTCTTCTGGTTCCACTGAATCTAATCCTATTGAAGCCTGAACTATAGGATCTGGTTGTCTTACTCTAAATGGCTGTTCTGGAGGCTTATTTATTGTTTTGTTCCTGGCTGTTCTCTCAAAGGGTAGTGATTTTCAGCCCAATCACCTATGCCCTCCTGAAGGAAGGTCAAGTTCTGAAGGAGAAATTAAGAGCAACACTGCCTGTTCTTCAGGAGTTTTGTGGCCATTATAAACTTTACGTAAGCAACAAGCTCTGATTTGCTAGATGGGACACCTCAGGTCTCTGCTGTTAAAAGACTGATGCCTGATGAATGATGCAGAGCTGCTTGTTTATCCTTGAGCAGTTTAATAATGGAGATTGGGTGAGCTTGCGGGCTGTGACGGCAGTTCTTCCAGGGTTGATCATCATCAACACTGACGGAAACGGCACAATGATGCTGCTGAGGAAGGGACATTCAACACTAACGGTGTCTGGGACCACGCCAGGACAATCCTGACTAAATCAAGTACCTTTGTTTAAGCTGTGTTAAGCTGCTGTTGCACTGCAGTTTCCCTTACGGGATCAATAAAGTATCTGTGTCTATCTTTTATGCAGAAGTTGTAGTAGTTGCCGTGCTGGATTAAATATGATAGATTTTCAGGTGTAAACTTTACGTTTTTCAAAATTCTCTTCTTAGCAGCAATGACAGACTTAAGCATATGTGCTGTTGTTGCTTGATGATGGACTTTGATCTTTGGTTACCACTCTGTGTTGGGTTACAGAGCAGGACTTGCCAGGGGTTTAAATGAAAGCTTACCTGTCAATCTGAGGGTCTGTTGGTGGATTAGCTTTGTGTTTAACCTGGCTTGTGGTGTCGCACACTAGTCTTTCTGTCTTCATGTACAGCCTGGTGATTTCTAACCGCTGGTAGGAAATTCCTTGTAGAAACTGTAGTCATCTTGTTGGTCTGTATTTTCATGCTGCTTGTGACCACCCATAGACTTAATGTCAGGTGGTTTAGTGACAGTTGTGTATTTCTTCAGTTGGTCTTAGTTTGTTATCCAGTTTGAACATGCAGGTGGTCGACTGTGCACCCAGGAGTCCTTCAGAAGGCTGCATGACATCACTGAAATAATACGTTGCCACTATGGGACCAGAATTACGGGCTGAATGTCTTTCTCCCATTTGGAACTTGCAAAGTAATGGAAGAAGGTAGAGCAGAGAACCCACAGGGGCTGGAGAACTGACGAGGCCAAGTTCCCATGTGGGTGAGAAACATGCCGCTGCTCGGATTGGCACTTACCCAGCTTGCTGTTGGAGGAGCTCAACCATGTGACACTTGGGTGGGTGTCTAATGTAAAGTTTGAAAATCTAATTTTATTGTATAGGTGTTTCTTTTGGGGTCCTAAAGGAATCCCTGTTTTATTTAACCAGGTACGTCTGTTATAAAGGTAATCCAACATT